ATTAAAATAAATAAATACGTAGATACATATTTTATTTATTTATTTATTTAATTTATATGCCGCCCACACTACCCAAAGGTCTCTGGGCGGCTATATTTATCACATTTATACCCCGATTTTCCAGTATATATACTTCCGTTCCTTATTCAGGTGTTTCTTCTGAATAATAATAAAAAATGTGTGCCAAAAAGATACAAGAAAAAAAAGGACCCGAACTACAAACGAACTTCAGCCGTCCTTTTTCCTGGGGCGGCCCGGGCGGCTTCCCAGGACTCTCCGGCGGGCGCTCAGCCAAATGGAACGGCTCCGCTAAATGGTCGCCCGAGCCACGCCCACTTCCCCGGGGAGTCCCTTCAGTTTCGATTCTCTCGGGCGCGCGGCGGGAGGAGAAGAAAAGTAGCGGCTCGAGCGCTTCCTTCCCTCACAGGGTGGAGAGCGCGAGCGAGGGAGCGAGCATGTCGGACCCGGTGGTGTGCAGCTTTATCACCAAGGTGATCTGCTCCAAAGGGGGCCGCGTGGAGTACAGCAGGCTGGCGAGCGAAGTGCAACTCCCCGACCCACAGCTGCGGCAGATCCTGGAGGAGCCCGGGCAGGAGAGATTCCTGGTGCGACCCGACGGGACCTCCACCTGGGTCTTGGCCGTCTCCGCCGTGAGGACCTGCGTCCGCAAGGAGTGCGAGGGCTGTGACAGACTCCATCTCTGCAAGCTCAACCTCAAGTGGAAGTGCAGGGCCAGGTGAGGAGACAAAGAGGTCGTGGGGATGGTTGGCGGGGTCTCGCGGGGCGTGTGCTCTTCCAGCGCGACTAAGCCCTTGTACCCCCTTCAGTTGCCCACTCAGACGCAGAGTTTGGAGAAAGTTACTTCATGGGATTCATACGCCTTCTCGTCGTGGATACGGACTATTCCGGGAGTTGTGGCGGGGGCGGGGAAGAGTTATCCTCAGCGGCGGGAACTGTAAGGATGCTGTCCTGGTTAGAAGCTCCATAGGTAGTTTGCCTAACTTAGTGATTCCCAACCATGGTAACCCAGGTGATCTTGGACTGCCACTCCCAGAAACCCCGGGGCAGCACAGCTGATGGGGAAGGCTTCTGAGAATTGCAGTCCAAGAACACCTGGGTCAGCTAAGGTTGGGACCCACTGGCCCAGGGCAAGAAACTTTGGTCTTCAACCTGCATGGAATACAGTAATCCATTCATTTTTATGGCTTTGTGTACATATTTTTACTTCAGAAAATGTTGGCAAAAGCGGAGGAGGGGGGAGGAATCAATGACAAAATATCTTGGCACTTTAATGATCATCATCTTAGGAACACCTGGGTCAGCTAAGGTTGGGACCCACTGGCCCAGGGCAAGAAACTTTGGTCTTCAACCTGCATGGAATACAGTAATCCATTCATTTTTATGGCTTTGTGTACATATTTTTACTTCAGAAAATGTTGGCAAAAGCGGAGGAGGGGGGAGGAATCAATGACAAAATATCTTGGCACTTTAACGATCATCATCTTAGAACCCCAGAGCTGGAAGGGACCCTATGGATCCTTGAGTCCAGCCCCTGTCAAGGAGACACAGTGGGGAACTGAACTCTCAGTCTTTGTCTCTGCAGTCAAATGCTAAACGACTGAAAGACCAACAATTGTATTTTGACACAGTTTTAGTGGATCAAAGTTGGAAAAGCTGCAAAAAAAAAAATACATATACCAGGGATGGGGTGTTTTTTGGCCCTCATCCATAGACTGGCAGCAGAAATAAGCAAGAGTGTTGCAGCCTTTTAACTGCTAACAAGTATGTGACATAAAATGGGCTGTACTCCTCAAATAACCTATGGCTAATAAAAAAAAAATTCTTAAGTCTAGGTGCCACAAAATTCTTGATCCTTTTTTTTTGAACTACAACTCCCAGAATTCCACAGCCAGATGGATTATGAGAGTTGTGGTCAAAAAAAGCAACTTATCTAGTACTGTATATTGTACAGACAGTGTGTATGTAACATTAGTTACGTTACTGCATATTCTTTGAAAATGCTTTTTACAATAATAACTGTTTGCCATTGAGTAAATTCTGACATGGAGACCCTTTCCAGGGTTTTGAGGTAGAGAATACCCTAAAGTGGTTTATCAGTCCCTCCTTCTGGGGCCAGCTTTGGGATTGTGCAGTTTACCCAAGGCCACACAGGCTGATTTTACTCTCAGGAGCCATAGTGGAGAATTGAACCTCCCAAGGCTACACAGGCTGGTTTTACTCTCGGGAGCCATAGTGGAAAATTGAACCTTAGGCTCCATAGCCAGATATCTTACTCACTGAGTTATGGTAAATGGTTGCCAGTAACTCATTTTGGATCCAGCCCAGACAGAAGTTAAGTGCTTCACAGTATGTCCCATTGGATCTAGTGGGATTTATGCCCTTGTCAGTACGCTTCTGATGATCCCATTGCAGAGGGGGAGAGAGAAACGTGTATACTTTAGTCTTCCTGCTGAAATGAGATGTGGCTTAAAACATAGTTAACAATCAGGAACTGAGGTCTGATAAGACCTTGCTTGCATTAGTATTTCCAGTTTTAACTGTTTATATTTATTTATTTATTTATTTAAAACGTTAAACAACTTTCAATAAATCAAAAGGACTTGGAGTAACACTGTTACTGGCACAATCCAGACAAAGGTTTAGTGGTTTTAGATGCTATTGAAATCCAGAGGATTTGAGAGTATTCAATTTACGGCACCAGGAAATGTATTTCTTGTACAAAATTAAAATGGATGCAAAATACTCTTGGTGTCCATTCCTGAAACACAGTTCACAACTATGTATTAGAAATTGTTTCAAAACTTCTTGGGCAAAATTTTCCATTTTTCTTTGTAACATACCCGTTTTTCACAAAAAAGGAGTTTCTCAGAACTCTTGCTTGCATGAAGGTAGAATGTATCTTAGAACCCATCATCTGGTATGGCTGCTGGTCATGCTAGGTACAGGATTCTTGAAGTCATTGTCCGATTAAGGAAGTAACTCTTCCTGGCTTTGAATGGTGGGCTGTTTCACTTAGTTCTGAAGACCAATGCTGATGGTGCAGAACAATTTTATTAAGAATTTATTATAAGTGGCATTTTGTTTTCAAATACAGTAGCATTATGGCCGGCCATGTTCTCCACTCAAACTTTAAGTCTTTAATTAACATCCAGAAATAATCTTTATTGTATCATGATCCTGTGCTATATGTTTAATGTAAATCATGGCATTTATGAAAACGGTTGCCTTTGTCTGTGAATGGAAACCTGGTGAGAAATGATACATGCAAATTCTGTCATTGGTGATCTATTGTTTGAAAACAGCTTTATACCAGCGATGGTGAATCTATGGCATATGTACCACAGCTGGCACGCAGACCCCTCTCAGCAGGCATGCAAGCCATAAGTCTCCGGATTGCTGGGGAGGAGGCTGCAGCCACAGTGCTAGTGCCCCGAAAGGCAGCAGGGCCAGGATGTGGAGAAGCTGGTGCTTGCAGGGGTTGGGCACAATTGGAGGCGGATCCAGAGTGGGGTCTGGAGGCACCTCCGTACCCGGGATTCCCCCTTCTGCCACCACTTGCTGCTGCCTGTTGGTTTGTTTGTTTTCCAGTTTGGGCACTCTGGCTCAAAAAGGTTAGCCATCACTGACCTATCCCTATCTCTTTTAAGCACTGACCATGGTTTAGTCTTTTAAAGAGAAAGCCTTGATACTATCCCAGTATGTTTTTGGAATATCCAATGTAGTGTAGTGGACAGAGTAACACACTAGGACACAAGAGGCCCTGGTTTAAATCCCCAGTCAACCATGGACACTTATGAATGTGTGCGTGGAAATGGAAAAGTCACTTACCGTGAAAGCTCTATTAGGGTCTCTCTAAGGCAGTTGCTACTTGATGGCAAATAACAATTTATCTTTATTGTTAGCAAATTATCCTGCAGCATTATAGAAATTGTTTTTCAAAACATTAGCCCCGCCTAATCTGTAATGTATGCTTTTGTTCTCTCGTCAGAAAAAATTCTCCACATTCTGGAATGCATATAATTCATAGTGCTGGGGGATTCTGTTTGACATCCTGGCCGGAGATTGTCCAGGTATGCAGCCTGAGCGTGCTCCTGGATTAATCTCTGAGCCTTGATGCCCAGGTTTTGGTGGTGGCCAGCAGTGCCTTTGCACGGTTAAAACTAGTGTGCCAGCCACACCTGTTCCTGGAGAGATCTGATCTGGCCATACTGACACATGCCTTAGTTATGTCCCAGCTGGATTACTGTAACACACTCTACATGGGGCTGCCTCTGGAAAGTGTCTGGAAAGCTTAGCACATCCAAAATGCAGCTGCCAGATTGCTAATTGTGACTGGTCTCAGAGATCACATAACACTGCCCCTCCCATTGCAGCAGTTCCACTGGCTCCTGGTCAGTTTCTGGGCACAATTCAGAGAGCTGGTTCTAACCTATAAAGCCCTAAACAGCTCGAGTCTGCTTTTATGAGCCTGCTTTGCTGTTAAGAGCATCAAAGGAGGCCTTTCTCTCAGTCACAGGCTTATTTGGTGGGGACGCAGGAGAGGGCCTTCTTTGTTTTTTTTTTTAATTATTATTATTTATTTATTTTTCTCTTTATAGAGGTAGGGTGGGGTAAGGGATGACTGGGATAAGGGTACATTTAGAGGAGGTGGATTTGAACGGTCCCATTAGAAATCAGTATTTTCCCCCCATAATAATTCTAAATAGTCCCTTCTAAGAGTAATTCTAATTATCATACAAAAATATATACATTATATAGAAAAATCTAAATTCAGACAGGTATTTTGTAATTCCCATTATTAATTATGTAGCTGGTCTTTTTTGCAACCATGTATATAGTGACAGCAAAGTTTCCCGATGATCCCTTTTCTTTTCTGGATTCAACCATTCTGTTAGCATATCCATTTCTGCGGTTTCCATTACTTTCCCTATCAGTCTGTTTATTTGTGGTATTCCAGACTCCTTCCAGTGTTACGCGAATACTATTCTTGCCACTGTTATCATATGGATGGCTAAGAATGCTTTTTCAGAATCTAATGTATTAGGCAAAATATTTAGTAGAAAAAATTCTGGTATCATCGATATTGAAGTTTCTAATATCTCTTGCAGTATCTGGTTGACTTTGGTCCAGTATTTTTGGGCTTATTTACATATCCACCACATGTGGTAAAATGTCCCTTCTTTCTGTTTACATTTTCCACATACATTTGAAAATTGAGTGCTTATTTTAGCCAGTAATTATCTTTCAAAAGAGTGCTTGTTTTCTTTGTGAAGAATATGCCCAAATATTTTACTTTCCTTCCTTCCTGAAAATTTGTAATTTGTAGTAATTCAACAAACTGTTTTTGAATGTTTTTAGTCATAACTTTTGTTTTTTGTGGTTTATTTTTAACCCTATCATTTCACCAAATTCTTTTAATTCCAACATTAAAGCTTCTATTGATTCCTTAGGATTTTTAACTACTATTCACAGGTCATCTGCAAAAGGAGAGGGCCTTCTTTGTTGTTGCTTTTAGACTTTGGATATAAACCACCTTGGGTCCTTTTCAAGAAGAGAAGTGGGATTTATTTATAAATGTGATACTTCCTTGAGAATGCTTATTTTATTATTTTATGCCTTTCTGATTATTTATACGAAATTATGTTAGATGTCAACTACAGTATTACCTTTTAAGAGTGATTTTATTTCTGTTTATGTGTGCAGTCCGACTGGCTATGAAGTAATAAAGTAAATTAAAAGTAAATTCCAGTTCCTAAAAAATCCAGACTTAAAAAAGTAGCCATTCAATGCAAGATTATGTTTATAGAAACTGAACTAAACCTGACCAAAAAAGAAGAAGAAAAGTCAAAGATCTAGAAGTAAGCCTGAAATCAGCTGAAGAGAAAGATCCCATTTTGGAAGTGTTTCTGATATTTTCTTCAGAATACTCCATGTACATGTTGAACAGGTACTGTTACATAACATGAATGAGGCTCTAAAATTCCAACTTAAAATACAAACCGAGAACAAATTGAAACATGAGTAATTAAAAACAAATTGAATCTGTCACCTAGTGCATACCTGTCGGGCAGCAATGTAAATGTCATTTTAAAATTGTTCAGACAGCTAACTTGAAGGCAATCAGATAGAATACCAGCTCTGTATTATTTGGCTGTATTAATAACCTTGGTTATATTTCTATTGTATCCTTTATGTGGCCGTGCAAAGTTGCTAGGGAGTTGCCTGTAGTTGCCTTCAGTTTCGATTCTGCTGTAAGCCGGAGGAAAAAGAGGCGGAGTCTGTTATCTGGTTTGAAACCAAACAACCCTTTAACAGAGAGAGAAATCAAGAGAATAGCCATGTCTGATCCTGCTGTGTGTAGTTTCATTACAAAGGTCCTTTGCTCTAATGCAGGCTCCTTAGCTTATAAGGAGATCTCCCCTCTTTTGGGATTGGCAGATCACCAGTTGAAAGAGATTCTGCAGGATGCAGGGAACAAAAGATTCCTAGTTGCTTCACAAGCCCCATCCTGTCTGGTTCTGGCTGTGTCCCCAGTGCGGCTGTGTTTGAGGAATGAGTGTGGGGGATGCGAGCACCTCCATATCTGCAAGAACTACATCAAGGGCAGATGCTTCAGGCCCCCTAGGGGCAGATGGTGAGTGTAAATGGATTTGAGGCAACTGTGGTGGCAAAAAAAGTGGGTATTTGAGAGAAGAAGTGGGGTGCAGGGCTGGCCCATGGGGCTGTCACATGGTAATCTGGTAGCAGCAAAAGAAGGCACAAAAGAGGGTTGGGTGAAGGGTTTTCAGTTTGTCCTTTCTTATTCTGAAAGTGAATCATTTTGTTTTGTTTAGAAGGAGGAAAATATCTCATTTACAGGGAAGATAGTAAATTGTTTCACAGTAAACTTGAAGAATGTTGTTGTCATACAATACCCACAAAATAAAATAGAAACACGGGTGCTTTTTGAGGAAATATATTTGAACCCCCAGAAACAAAATAAAACAAAACAATACAAAAAAAAAACATGTAACACCTTAAAGACTAACCTTATATTTTAGTGTAAGCTTTTGTGGACATGTCCACTTCATCAGAGCCTTTTGAGTCTTCAATACTCCAAATATCTGCTAGATAGCGAATTTGAAACCTCAGATAATTGAGTTAACATTTAGACAGTGAGTAATAGGGCAGTTGTGTTAATTCATTGCTAGAACAACAAATTGTTGCTACTAATACCCATTTGTTGCTATAAACTAATTAGTATGGCAGACTGATAGCACTGGAGTCACATTACATGTCAAGTCCTGCAACTCTGTGAAAGCTAATTAAAAGAGGTTCAAGCAAACCTCCCTCCTTGTTCCAGAAATGTACGAGGGAGGGATTGTAGGGCTACTGCCAAACCTGGTGTCCACTTTATGCGCTGTATGTTCAATGTGTGCAAACACCTGTTCTGTGCACCCATCCGTTTATGTGTACCATGCAAAGTGGGGCTGAGTGGGTCAGGATCCTTCCTTTATGTCGAGGATCTTTAGGGTGGGAACAGGCAGAGAGTTTGTTCTGATGGAGTCTGAAAATGTGGTTGGTGGGTGCAGTGGCTAGTGCGTGTTGGTTGGCAGGAGAGGATTTTGAAATCTCACTTCCCTCTTCGATGTGCGATCTTCCTCAACTGAGTGGATCATACGTTTTGCAGGTTAGATCTTACCTTGTCATGTGATGACTGCTGGGGAAAGGGGAGATAATAGCTGTTAATGGTTACAGAGCAAAATGTTTACAGAGCAGAGTCAGACACCCAAGAGAAAACAAGAAAGAACAGAAATGATTTGAAAAATCTTTTGCAGCTGCTCTTGGGAACTGATTAAACAGACTTTGAGTTTTAAATTCAGTGGTTTGAGGCTGGTTATGTTGACTGTCCCAGGCTAGAGGACAAGGATTTTTAAGCCTCCTTTTTCTAATATGAGGAGCCAGAGAGGTTTTAGTAGCTTCTCACTTCCCCGTGCCTGTGATTTGGCTCATATACAAGAATGAGGAGCTCACAAGTCAGACTTGTCCAGGAATTGATATTGCTGATTTGTTATAATATGAAAGTGAACTTAGTTTGTGAATTAAAATATACCTGGGATTTGACCTTCATACTGTATGTATGCGCTAAACAAGTGTTAGTGAGTAAAAGTTCAATAGAGCTAAATTAGCAGCATAACATTTTTGACCTGCAAGCAGTATAACTGGAGAAAGTTACTGGTAGTAATGGAGTTGTCAACTAAATGTATAGCTAACGTAACGTACATTGTTTTTAAATTAGGCATCTTTCAGTCTCGAGAGACTGTGGTAACGTGCTCTGTATGGAGGACTTGGAACAGTGTCTAGTGTGGCTGAGAAGGCCAATTAGAGAGTGACAATCCCTTCCACACTGAAGAGAAATACAATCTGTCCCCTGCCCAGCTCCCTGATTTTGCTGCTTTTGTAACTGCCTCTTTGCCTCGGCCTGCTGAATTGGGAGAGGCCTTGATGTACCACCTGCCTCCAGGCTGAACACTTAGATGTCAAGATTTCCCATCTACTGAGGTCCATTCCTAAGGCCTTCAGATCCCACTTGCAGATGTCCTTGTATCGCAGCTGTGGTCTCCCTCTGGGGCGATTTCCCTGAAGTAATTATCCATACATGAGATCTTTTGGAATCCAACCGTCAGCCATTCTCACAACATGCCCAAGCCAATGTAGACGTCACTGTTTCAGTAATGTATACATTCTAACATTGCAACTCGATCTAGGACTACTCTATTTAGAACTTTGTCCTGCCAGGTTTACAAGGAAAAATAACCATGAACCCATTTTACTCTTCTGTTGTTAGAGAAAATAAAAGATTTTAGCCTCTTCCTGGAAAATCTCTTATGTTTGGACGGAATTTGGATGGGTGTTCTTCAGACAAGAGTCCTTGGAATGTATAGGCCTTGATTGCATGCACGTATGTGTTTGCATACATGCCATTTTATAAAGGAATCTATTTTGATTATGATTTTTCACCCTTTCCCTTTACCCTAGGTCTTGTAAGTACTCTCACAACATTTTATCAGAAGATAATCAAAAAGTCCTGAAGAATCATGAACTTTCTGGCCTGAACGAGAATGAGTTGCGTGTTTTGCTTTTTCAAAATGACCCCTTTCTCTTACCTGATGTAAGTTGTAAAAGTATTTGAGGGGGTTGTTTTTATTGGGTATCTGTGTTTGGCATGGGGGTTATTATTTTTTTCAGTTGCTGTTAGCCTTCCAGAGAAGGGTGGGACAGACAGACAGACAGACAGACAGACAGATAGATAGATAGATAGATAGATATTTTAGTGCATCTTAAATATAGACACAGCATACCCTATAAAATGGGACTAAGTTAATTACTGCTGCAAGAGGTTGCTTTTTAAACTGTCTAAGGTATATACACAATCAACAGAGTGCATTAATTTAGAACTTTAGATAACCGTTCTGATAACTGGAAACTAAGCATTACCCCCTGCTCCCCTTATCTCATTTTGCAACTTCAAAGGAATAAGTTCTTCTATAGCATCCTTTCCTCCGCTTCTTGGTCACGTCCTTGGGTTAACTTGTAGCTTTTCTAATCTGTAGTATATAAACTAGACCAGGAGTCCCAAACCCCTGGTCTGCGAACCAGCAGCGGTCCGTGGCCTAGGCAGGAGCGGGCTGTGGACACAGATTTCCCGCCCCCGTGAGTGCCGCTGCGCATGAGCGCACTCCGTCCCCTGCATGCATGCATGCAAGCACACTCTGCCCCCTGCAAGAGTGCTGTGCACATGCATGTAAAGGCCACCATGCACATGCGTGTGAGTGTGCTCCACCTCTTTGCAGGTGCACCACACCCATGCAAGCGTGCCAGGCCACACCTAACCAGTCCACGGTTGGGAAAAGTTTGGGGACCACTGAACTAGACCATCAGCTATTTTTATTTTAAATAACTTTCATGTATCCTGAAAAGATGATATCTATAAATGCTGTGGTAAACAAAATGAAGGATCAGTTCCTAAAGCACAGTTTAGAGAAAGTCAGTGAGAATAAAATTCTGTGACTTGAAGCATCCATGCCTGTCTTCCTAGATGTTGGCCTTCCTTTTGCTCTAGAAGCCCTCATTACAAAATGCATCAGATGTGAGTGGGATTGACCCCTCTGGCTTTACTGCATCTCCACCTTAGCATGTGAGAGAACCAGAGTAATCTGATTTCATAGCCAGAGGGGGGGAAATGCATAGGTGGTGCAAGTTGTATTAATAAAAGAGATATGCAAATAAATTTTAGGGTCATTCAAATATAAAAAAGCGAAAGGAGTAATTAGTACAAGGATGCCCAGGCTTTGAGATCTGCAGTGGACGCCCTTCTTTCCGTTCTGCCACTCAGGAAGTTACTGTATTTTTCTGTTTGTAAGATGACACAATATATAAGATGACCCCCCCCCTTTTCTAACTCCAAATTAGAAAATTTGATCCCTGCTTTTCCCTTCCTTTTGCTAAGCCATGGAGCTTTGTAAAAGGCACGGAAAAGCGGCGGTCAAAGGGCTCCAGCAGCGAGGACAGTAGCAGCAGCAGGAGGAGGCGGAGACTGAGGCAAAGAAACAGCTTGGCTCGGCTGCCTCTTGCTGCTGCCCATTGACTGCCGCCGCCTGATCGCAAGGAAATGATCGCTGGAGGGGGCAGTCCGGCAGTGGCTTCCTTCCTATATGTGAAATAGGTCCAAAGAATACTATTTCGCAAGGGGTTGTAATTGTTTACTTTCCATGCATCTCAGAGCAATGTAGTGATTGAAGATGGGTCTTTCCTCCTCTTCCTGTTTCCAGGTATGCAATGCCTACAACAGAGGTGACAAGAACTGCAACCAGCCGGATGATTGTCCCAAGCTTCACATTTGCCGGCACTTTCTCAAAGGAGAGTGCAGGTTTTCCCACTGCAAGAAGTCTCATAACCTTCTGGAACCAAAAATCCTGGCTCTGCTACTTGCAGAGGGCATGGATGATAAGATGGCCTGGAATATCCAGACAATCTGCGATTACAAAGCTGCTGCATTGATACAGGACTTAGGTGCATGTGAGTGCTTCTAGGGGTGTGTGTGTGTGTGTGCAGATCTCAGAAGAACAAACCACTCGTGTTCTTCTTCTTCACATTACTTCGCTGTGTAGAAGCCCCTCCCCCTTTCCACTCTTTGAGGCTTTTCTCTATTACTTTTTGGCTTTTCTTCAGATTTCAAGCCAGCAAGAGGTCGAGCAAAACCAACGGGTGGGAATCATGGAGAGCCCAAACGGGAGCGAGATTCCTCTGTGCATACTTTCTTGAAGCCAAGCCTTGACCAAAGTAAGCCAGCGCTTTTCATTGTGGAACCCAAGTGGGTTAAGGAGATTTAGGTCAAAACATCTTCATTCCTATGACAAGGGTTTCAGCCTTGACTCAGAAAAGACATCTAATCCTAACCTACAGTTTGGGGCCTATTTTTAAAAGTGTGTTAATAAATTATATTGGCCTATTTCTGTGTGTATATTCAACCATTATGTCAAATGTTAAAGACCTTGACATTCAAACATACATGTTGGTACCTCCAGATGAATTATTTGATTTGTGCTATAATTTCAGAGTAGACAAAAATGAATGGTTAAAAAAATGAAAACAAAATTCTGTATTTTTTTTCTTTAAATTGGATTTTTAATCTTTTGTTAAAATACTTTCTGCTTAACAAAAACTCTTTATGAAGATGCCTTTAATTTAAAACATGTTATAGCTGAAGAATCCATATATAATGAAGGGATAGGAATTATATATTCTCCAACAAATAATGTCTACAAAGATTTCTTGCCTTTTGTGTAACTATGCAAGGGGATTTTGGTCAGTGTATTCATATAATTATTTAAGATACTTTGTAAATGGGGTCCAAGAGTTCTTGAACTGGGGCCTCAGTTTTATGATTTTCCAAGGGTGTGCATATAGATTATATAGGTCAGTCTTTCTATCTACCTAACACTTAGTCTGATAGATACAAAAAAAAATCTTTAGCTCTCAAATTAGGTTTGTGTCTCCAGAGATACACATAGTAACAACAGGTATGGAGCTGAGACATAACAGTTGTTCAGCTGTATTTATACACTCTGACCAAAGTTATTCATAGAGCTTTCTTCCCTCTGCAGATCATATGAGGTTGAAAATTCTTGGAAGCCCTATTAAGATCAGTGAGATCATATAGTTTGCTTTAGTGATACCGATTCCTTTAACATAGGAACTCTAGCTGTTGTCCCTCTGCAACATTGTGCAGACAGAATCAAATCCCTGACTTGCTCTGAAAGTACATGATTTGAGTCAGTAAAAATGTCAGTGAATGGATGATTCTTGGAAGTTGAGTAAATCTGGACAAGGTGATTTTGAAAAATGTGTAATAATGCTATAGTAAGCAGGAATGAACTTGGAGGGGATCACATGATTAAATTGAGTCTTTCTGAGTAGTGATTTGAATTGTGATTTAATTGAGCTTGATTTAAATTAAATTCACGCTGCATAATTTTCTTTTGCATTGTGAGATAATAAAGGTTGATCCTCTGTGGCCCTAATTTGCATTTGCTACCAAGAACAAGGGTGTACTTAAATGCAGTCTTGGTGGAAAGCATGCCACTATATGATTTTTCTTGAATGTGTAAGAGAAACATTGTGTTGCTTTATCTCCCCCAACCCCTTTTCTGTTACAGATATGGGAACAGCTTATAATACTAAACTTCCACAGAATACAGACAAAGAGAAAAGTCATGAGAAAGACAAAATTGATGAAATATGTTTGCACTACCTCTGGCACTTCTGCAAAAACAAAAGTAAGGCACAGAGTAGAACAGCAAGACTGTGTTTTCATGGTGACTTTCTTGAAAAATAGTACGCTTCCTAACATATTCTTCCAGTGGTGTTGAGGTTGTTTTTACTGCCTCATCCCATCCAGCCTTTGTCAGAGAGGTGGAAATACGGTGGTCAAAGCAACTGAGATACTAAAATGAGGAGAAAGGTTGGAATTCTGTTCCGTGAGCCATCAGATACAATAACTATGTGCCTTCTATTTGTTAAAAGTGTACTTTACATACTAGTTTGTAAACTAGCTAGTAGATCAGTTATAACATTGTAGGTGCTGTAGATCTGCTCATAGCTGGTTAGTTTGTACCTGAGGGCAACAGTGGGTTCAACTCTTGAGCCAGAATCCTCCTTGCAGACTATCCATAGAACAGGCTTTCAGGTTTCCAGTGCTAATTTGCACATAAAGAAGCCCATTAGTTACAACAAGGCTGATTCTCGCTTCTGTGACAGCAGGCCGGAGATCTCGCTAAATTCTATGCCATAGAGGCATTATGGTCCACTATTACAAACAGGATAGCTCCCTGTAGATGTTAACTTTCAGAGCATTGCAGGGCTCCTTCCCCTCTTTAAAAGGAATTGCACAAAACTGCTGAGATCAGTGCTTGGAAGTGACATTATGTAATATGCTACTTACTGAGATAATGAGTAGTAGATGATATTTCTCTGAAAAATAATGTAGGGACCGCAAACATTGTTGAGCTGTCTGTGTGCCTTACTTCAGAACATTTGGAATGTTATTTATTAGACCTTCTTTTTCAAATTTCTGTATTTTCTAATTAATTTTTTTTAAGCTGCAGTTTTAAACATTTCTAATGAGTAATCACAAGTGAAGCTTTTCTAAAATAAAATAACACCAACATGTTAGTTTTCATTATATGTCAGAGCTGTGGGAGGGAGGGGCATGAGAGAGTGTGAGGTGTCTTATTGCTTATGACCCCAACATTTTTTAATAAAAAAAATTCTTGTGTGTAAATACTTCCCTGCTTCAGTGAGCTTCCCAAATTAGCTCCCTGGGTTACGTTCAGCTTTGGTCATTGATAGTGTGTTACGCTAACTGACTGCAATGAGACACTTAATTGGGAGTCCCTTAATTGGGAAAAAGGCAGCATAGAAATAAGACAGATAAACAAATAAATATTCTGCTTTTCTCAACAGAGTGGAATAAAGCCACTGGTTTCCACATAAAATGCAGAGTTTTTTGTTTCTATTAACATCTACCAAAACTCAGGCTGAAACAGGTAGTAGAACTTACTGTAAGGCTGATGGCAGATCAGATTTTGTACATTAAAAATTTCCAATCTCCCAGCCCCACCAGGTCCTGAGGTTCCCTTGGGATCCGTTTTATTGTAGGAAAGCCCTTGGGGGACATGAGAATTGGAGGAGTCTTCAGTTTCCAAAAATTGCTCCTGCTAGTAAATTAATACCAGTGGTGATGATTTTTGGAAATAAAAGACTTCCCCCATCCCATATCCCCCAGCCATTTCCTTTTGAGGAAAGGGATCCCAAGGTAGACTTGAAAGCTTTAGGGAGGGGGAGATAATAAATTTCTTATTTAAAACAAACTCCTGTGGCTGGTGTTATCAGTCTTACACAGTGCAAGTTCCACTATTTGATTTCACGCATTGTCTTGTAAAAATATCCACTTGTTAAGATTCTTTTAATAACTCGGTTGTCTTGGGGCCAGTTTGACAGCCAGATAGATGGTGGTTAGCCAACTTCATTGGTCACTGGTTCATTTCCCCTTGACATTTAGTCCAGTCGTGTCCGACTCTAGGGTGCGGTGCTCATCCCAGTCTCCAAGCTGTAGAGCCAGCGTTTGTCCGTAGACCATTTCTGTGGTCACGTGGCCAGCGTGACTTGACCCGGAACGCCATGACCTTCCCTATTTGGTGGTGGTACCTATTTATCTACTCACATTTTAATATGCTTTTGAACTGTTAGGTTGGTAGACCAGTTGATGACAATTAGAGCCCTAAATGGCATAGGAACAGGACACTTTAAGAACCGTTTGCCTGCCCCCAAATGATCTGCAGTGAGAGCACTTAGGCCCTTTTGTTATGGAGTGGTGGTTGGAGTTGTAGAAAAGGTCATCCTTAGTTATGGAACTCGCAGTGGTTTCCTTGGCTACCTCAGTGGAACAATTCCATAGGCTTTTAGAGGCTTTTTTGTTTTTTCAAGCTTTGAACTGACAAGACTGATAATTACTTGTTACTTTTTCTGAAAAATTGTATTTGCTGCCACTGTCCTTGTATCAGTATGTTTGAGCATCTGGGTATCTTTTAAAACATTGTTTTAAAACAAAATTTTAATGAGAACTGTCTTCAATATTTCCCTTACAATGAAAAGGCAGGACAACACACTGTGGCATTCACCCTTGTGGCACATGTGTGTTTTGCTCTCACAAAGGCTCATGTTGCGTTTTCCTCTTGCTGCCACCAGTGAATTACCGCAATCCACAATATAAATGATGTTTGTCAGAACACTTGTCTTGTGAATACAAACAGAACTTATTTATTGAAGTGAATCAGATTTAATAGTAACATAAGTTCTTCAGATAAACATTGTACACAAGCAAATCATTAACAATTCTCTCAGTACATACTTTTCTCTTGCAATATCATTGCCACCTTTTCTGCCTATTTTCTTAACCAGTCTTATCACTCTGTATTTATTCCCTCTCTCTCTGACTAACCAGCCCTTATTTCTATCATGATCTCATCTCTATCTCCATTTCTTATCTGACTACTCCTTCTCCTGGTAAGCCTCATATAGCTGCTGACTCCGCCTCTCCAGTTCTCTCATAGGCTCATGCAAATTAGCTCATTACTATGAATGTCAAGAGTGACATGGGGCGATCCTCACACACCCCCTTGCAAACGAATAAAGAGATATTGCAGGATTTGGGTTTGTCTTACGTTAGCAACTGAAAGAGCCACTGATCCCTTTCCTTTTTTCTGTTCTCTTTGTAGGTAACTGCAACATGATCCATTACGATTTGCCATATCGGTGGCAAGTACAGACAGGAGATGGCTGGAAGGATTTGGCTAAACGAGAGGAAATAGAGAAAGCCTACAGTGACCCAAGCATTACTACATATAAAGCTAATCCTGCCCTCGTTGTGAAAAGGTGTGATGGAGATAATGCATTTGTCTGATAAAAGCCAAGCTGTCACTTCTTTTTTGCGTATCACATTCTACTGGTAAAGGAGGAGGCAGTCTCATGTGATGGGTTATTTCCTCAGCCTTGAATATGTTGCTGTTCTTCTCCAAGCACAACTGAGTGCTTGGGAAAGGAAGCATGAAGTTCTAAAAAACCAAAAGTCATGTCCAGTTCAGCATAGTCAGGTCAAGAAGAGCAGTGTCACAGCAATGTGAAGAACCATCAAGATCTTGGACAGCATCATGCATAAGATACTGAATAGAGTTTTCTTCCTATGGAGGGTTGTGGACAGCAAGGGACTGCAGGCAACTCTGGTGGACCTGTAAGTCCCATTAGAAGCTTGGTGGGCCCAGAACCTTTAAAGACCCCACTTTGGTTGGGTGTTCAGTGTGGCCTATGAATTGTCTTAATAATAATAGTCTTAGAACTTCAGAGCTCGAAGGGATCCTGCGGATCATCAAATCCTGCCCCTGTAAAGGGCTCGTGGTTCTGTCTGTAGCCTCATGCTTTTCCGTGGGCAATCCAGAGGGCTGAAGAAGGGGTGGCAGAATCCTGGTCAGTCAGAAGCAGAGTAGAGGTAGAAGTGTCCTTAGGCCTGAACGATGTATAAGCAGGTGCCGACCATACTCCATGAAATGGGGCAGTCACCGTTGAACTCTTTTTAAGAGTGCTGCTGAACCTCTGAGCCGGAGGATGTAACAGCTGTGGTGTCTCAAAAACAATGATTTTCATATTTTCAACGTGTAACTTTTTGTGGACCCCTTGAGAATGACTTCATCTTTTGTTGTATTTCTTATTTACTGTTATTTACAAAAACAGTATTTAAAAGACTACTGAGTATCCATTTTTGTTTGTTTGTTTAAATGTTATCTATTATAAACCAATAGAGACAAGAATGACTTCATCTTTTGTTGTATTTCTTTATTTACAAAAACAGTATTTAAATGACTACTGAGTATCAGTTTTCGTTTGTTTGTTTAAATGATATCTATTATAAACCAATAGAGGCCAAATTTCTAACATGTGCTGGATTATGGAGAAACCCTGAGAGTTCCACAAAAACATCTACTTCTGCTTCATTGACTACGCAAAAGCTTTTGACTGTGTGGACCACAGCAAACTATGGCAAGTCCTTAAAGAAATGGGAGTGCCTGACCACCTTATCTATCTCTTGAGAAACCTATTTGTGGGACAGGAAGGAACAGTTAGAACTGGATATGGAACAAATGATTGGTTCAAAATCGGGAAAGGAGTATGATAAGGCTGTATATTATCCCTTGGCTTACTTAACTTATATGTAGAACATATCATGCGGAAGGCTGGACTGGAGGAACCCCAAACTGGAATTAAGATTGCCGGAAGAAATATCAACAACCTCCGATATGCAGATGATACAACTCAGATGGCAGAAAGTGAGGAGGAATTAAAGAACCTCTTAATGAGGGTGAAAGAGGAGAGTGCAAAAAATGGTCTGAAGCTCAACATCAAAAAAACTAAGATCATGGCCACTGGTCCCATCACCTCCTGGGAAATACAACGGGAAGATCTGGAGGCAGTGACAGATTTTACTTTCTTGGGCTCCATGATCACTGCAGAGGGTGACAGCAGCCACAAAATTAAAAGACACCTGCTTCTTGGGAGGAAAGCAATGACAAACCTCGACAGCATCTTAAAAAGGAGAGACATCAACTTGCTGACAAAGGTCCGCATAGTCAAAGCTATGGTTTTTCCAGTAGTGATGTATGGAAGTGAGAGCTGAACCATAAAGAAAGCTTATCGCCAAAGAATTAATGCTTTTGAATTGTGGTGCTGGAGGAGGCTCTTGAGAGTCCCCTGGACTGCAAGGAGAACAAACCTATCCATTCTAAAGGAAATCAAGCCTGAGTGCTCACTGGAAGGGCAGATCCTGAAGAGAAGACTCCCTGGAAAAGACCCTGATGTTGGGAAAGTGTGACGGCAAGAGGAGAAGGGGACGGCAGAGGATGAGATGGTTGGACAGTGTCACCGAAGCTTCCAACATGAATTTGACCCAACTTCGGGAGGCAGTGGAAGACAGGAGGGCCTGGCGTGCTCTGGTCCATGGGGTCACGAAGAGACAGACACAACTAAATAAGAACAATTATAAACCAAATAGAATCATTCTTTGGCCAGATTTTTACCAGACATTCAGAGAGTAATTTAGTGATGAAAAAGGCCAAAAGCAGTCTGGAATTTCTATCTTGGGTAAAGCCAAGGTGTATTAGGTGTCTTGTGGAAAACTAGATGTCAACTAATCTTATTCCATATATAAAACAAATAATGGATATTGCAAGTTTCACAAAGTATTCATCATCTCAGTAAAATGCCTTGTTAGTGTCTCAGAAGAGTTTGACTGTGTTACATTCATTTGTTCTTAAGGCATTGTGTCCTTTAAAATTTGTCTCAGAAGAGAATGACATTGTGACAGCATCAAGAATGGGCAGGGGTACTTTCAGGCTTTGTGTGTAGTGTGGAGAAATGTAGTATATCTCAGCTCTATCTCTATGGTTCTTCTGAAGCTGTTGCGACAGTTCTGGTAAATTTTATCAATTTTTTTGAGCTTCTTAGCTCAGAGGAGAAATGCAGAGGTTAACTTTACGGCGATAAATACCCAGTTTATGCATCCCTGAAATTCTGGAAGCAGCAGCAGAATACTTGTCTGGTAGTATAGTTGCTCATCGCATGCTCTTTGGTGCATAAAGGGCAGACAGTCAGAGACATGTTATGAGCAGAGTTTGGAAAAGCACACCAGTGCGTCTCCTTCAAGTTTCTTAAAGAAGAGTTATCAGCGTACTTGCCTTTATTAATCAAGACAGTTTTGCATGGGTTTCCTTCCATCTGTCCGTGACATAACTGAGTTGGGGAGGAAAACTTCGGAATGAGAAGGCGTGAGAACAGATAATGGTATGATTTTGGAGGATGACTAATTTTTCTTTCTGTTCTTCATCTAGTCTTTTGGATCTTGATATTGATTTTAAGACCATGATGTCTAATGCTTGTCCAGTTCGACGGTTATCTACTCCATCATCTGTCACCAGACCTGCAAAGTTTGTGATGACCACAAAGTGGCTTTGGTATTGGAAGAACGATGTAGGCCAATGGATTGAATATGGGAAACAGGTCAGTTTGCAATTTCGTAACTTCTGGTTTTTGAATATGGGAAACAGGTCAGTTTGCAATGTCCTAACTTCTGGTTCCCTAGAGCAGTGGTCCCCAACCTTGGGCCTCCAGATGTTCTTGGACTTCAGCTCCCAGAGGTCCTGGTCAGGAGAGGTGGTGGTGAAGGCTTCTGGGAGTTGTAGTCCAGGAACATCTGGAGGCCCACAGTTGGGGACCACTGCCCTAGAGAATGCTTGCTACAGGCATTAGATAAAGGCAGAGAGCTATGATGACATCTTGAAAGCCTTCAGCCAAGTCCTTACTATAAATTTTCTTGACAATTCTGTGTGCAATAGTCTCTGACATTCTCAAACATTTTGGCATCGTGGCCTCGCCTGAGAGTTTTGAGAAACTTTCATCTCTTCCTGTTTCTGCTTGACCATTAATGCCACCCCTTGACATATACAAATTTAGTAAAAATTATTTTAAATAAAAAGTAAGGAAAAGTGGGGGACGTGGTGGTGCTGTGGGCTAAACTGCAGAAGCCTGTGCTGCCGGCTCAGAAGACCAGCAGTCGTGAGATCGAATCCACGCAACGGAGTGAGCTCCCGTCGCTTGTCCCAACTCCTGCCAACCTAGCGGTTCAAAAGCATGCAAATGCAAGTAGATAAATAGGGACCACCTCGGTGGGAAGGTAACAGCGTTCCGTGTCTAAGTCGCACTGGCCATATGACCACGGAAGACTGGCTTCGGACAAAAAACGCTGACTGTATGGCTTGGAAATGGGGATGGGCACCGCCCCCTGGAGTCGAACACGACTGGACAAAAATTGTCAAGGGGATCCTTTACCTTTTAAGGAAAAGTGGGTTTTTTCATGCGTATAGTACATAAACATTCCTGAGATGGGATACAAGACATTGTTTCCATATTGAATGGTTACCCCCATCCTCACCTTCCATTTTGACTGCAGTGTATTTTCATGGGATGGAAGGGGAGCCTCAGAAATGTCTAGGCCTGCATGACACTGTAGCGTTCACCCTTATTATGTTAAAAAAAGTAATGCATTATTCATGTTCTATGTTGATGTGTTTGAGAGGTGGGGGCCACCAGAGATGTTAAATAGGTGGAGCCTGTTCAGCCACGCTGTTCCAAGCCCTCCATACAGAGCACGTTACCATAGTCCCTCGAGACTGAAGGATGCCTAATCTAATCTAATCTAGAAAAGGATGAATTCCTGTTAAGATGAATTTTTAAGTGTACAACGATTTTAGGAAGGAGAATGTCCCAATTGTGGTTTTCTGGACAAAAAAGGATATATTTATGGTTTTAAAATGTATGTTTGTTGTTAGGCCACAACTAGTTTCCTGCCTATGGCTTTAACCATTTTGCTTGCTTTGTTGTGACAAGAAGACTCTGCCAGTCATCACCAGTAGAATTTGTATTGTGACTTCTTCCCATTAGCTTTGTGGGGTTCTGGAAAAAATGAGTTGGCAACAATGGGGTCATGCTGCTGTTGATGTAGCTGTCTCCAAGTGTCAGCCCTACCTCATAACTGCCCTCATGTACCCACCCTTCAGACTGCCCTTTGTCTCTGTTCTAAAATGTCATCTTCCTCATCTTCACAACAACAGAAACTTTCTGTTTTTGGACCACAATAGAAGCTCAAATAAACCTATGCTGAAGAACCAATATGATTGCATGTGCGCGGGCAGTTAATTTGAAAGGGTGAAGTTCAAGCCTCTTTTTAACTGTGCTACTTAAGGTGGCATCAAGCGAGCCCATCGGAGGAGGAAAATGATGATCTTTCCTTTCCCCACAACATAACGCTTATTTCATGCTGTTGGAGAGTAAAGGGATCTGCAGTGCTCTTTTTTACAGCAAGTGTGGGAATCTTTTTGCTACTATGGTCTATTGATGCACATAAAAACTCCACCGCGATCCTGCCTACTCCCAGGGCTTTACTGAGGCTGCAGCATGTAGTAGCTGCATCCTTTAGCCAACTCTAGAGGACTGCTTCTCCTCCTTTGCCAACTCATCTTATTTCTCACTCCCTCTACTTTCTGACACCTCTTTGGGACAGTGGGTGTTGTTCTCCTCTGCTGTTTAAATACTTTCCTGCCCACTTGGTGCTATCCAGTGCTTGGCAGCCTGTACCCCAGAGCAGAATGCTTTGAAGGGTTGACCCATGCTGGCTAGCCCACATGTTTGAAAGCATCTCTGCTCAGGTGGAGGACATCCGGGTGGAAGAATGTGGAGCTTTGGCATGCTTTTGACATCCCTAAGCACTCCTCTCTAAGAGACAGTCATTCCATCCCAGGCAAGTTAGTCTTCAAGGTGCTGCAATGTTTTACTCTTTTAATTTTTGTTTCTTGTTTCTGATACGCCTTGGGAGGGTTTCCCATCAGTGCAAGGAGGGCTTTGAAAGTGCCGGTTGGCTCTTATTACTCTTATTCCTTCAAAGGCTTCACTGGTCAGATGAAGGATCACTCTGGTCTTTGCTGGGCTCCTACATGGGAAGAGGCAGGGATATCCTGTGCTTTCAAGTGGGGATGGGGAGCCACATTTTTGACATGCCAGAGGACATTAGCAAGCTGCGTTGCAGCACCATCCTATACATGCTTAGTCAGTGGGCCCCATTGTGTTCATTTGAACCTCCTTCTTAATAAATAAATGTAAAATTACAACCTTTTAAACCCATTCTCCCCTTGTGATTTTTTAAAAAATGGATTGTAAAGCCTGTTAAACTACTGTCTTTCAGAATAGCCACCTTATATGGTCATTGTTTTTAAGGCAAAATATTTCTATGTTTGCATTACAAGAAAAGTGAATATACATGTGACAACAGAGATGTTATTGTCATGGGGTAGCTGAAAGAAGCAAACTTCATCCTTTAATGGGTTTCTTTATAAGTTATTTATGTGCAACTTGATATCATACCAGTAATGTCACACAGGTTTTCTGAAATAATTGTAGCATGCTTTCATTTTACATCTCATGCTTTGTTTGTAATATTATGTACTATTCATTATAGTGCATAAGTGCATAACAGTCAGAGAATGGTCAGTTTGTATGGACCCACATACCATGTTTTCCCAAAATTAAGACCTAACCTGAAAAGATGATTTGTCAGGATGCTCCTAATATAAGCTCTACCTCAAAAATAAGCCCCAGTGGAGTGAAACCCTGCCCTCCACCATTGTGCAGCAACCAGAAGAAGATGACATGACAGTATCTGAATAAATGTAGACTGGTGTACATGAAAAAAAATAAAATAAAACGTCCCCTGAAAATAAGCCCTAATGCATTTTTGGAGCAAAAATTAATCTAAGACCCTGTCTTATTTTCGCTGAAATGGTAACTAAATCAGTAATGTATCATAAACATTTCATTCAAAAACTGACAGAACCCTGAATTGTCCATGTTTGTGTCTTACTCCTTTACATTCACTCTCTGCAGGATGGAACACGCCAAGGCTCCAGTTTAAATTCTGATGACCTAGAGAATTTATTCCTAGCAGACCCAGCTGGCAGCATCCAGTTTAGTGCAGGACCCCAGAAATATGAGATTAATTTTAATGGTAAGGTACTTATTTCATTTTACTGGTTGTGGCATAGTCAAAGGTCCCAAGTAGCCCCCGGTTATCCACCGAGCTAAAAGAATACATCTACCAAATTTTTTCCATCATAGTCTATGTTATTTCCCATGAATGCCATTTCTGGCCTGCAGAGTTACACAGAGAAGGACTCTTGGGAGCTTGTCTGCTCGTGGGTTTGCTTGGAAGATGAGCCCAAAGTATGGCCTCTATGCTTGTGCAGGCCTCTCTGACTTGCTATATAAGTGGTCTGGTGAACTCCCTTTCCTTTGTGGAGGGTGACTCTTACCACCAAGAGTGAGGTTCGCAGTTTGGGTATACATCTGGAACTGGTGCTCACCATGGAGACCCAGGTGTCATCAATGGTCCGTTCCACACATTTCCACCTTCGCTGGATTGCACAGCTGTGTCGCTACCTTGATGTGCGCTCGGTCCATGTGCTTGTAGTCTCAAGATTAGACTACTGTAATGCGTTCTACATAGGGCTGCCTTTGAGACTGACGTGGAAACTTCAGATGGTACAAAATGTGGCGGTCAGACTTCTTAACAGGTGAAAAGGTACCAATATATTTTCTCCACGCTGGCCGCCTTGCATTGGTTGCCCATCCATTTCCACATTGATTTCAAAGTTCTTACGATTACATACAAAGCCCTAAATGGTTTAGGACCTTGATATCTGGCAGAGCACCCTCTCCCACCCAGTTCTGCCAGAGCCACTCGTTCCAGCCAGACCAGGTGGCTGAAGGGCCTAACACCAAGGGAGGTCTGGAAGGAAAGGTTGAGGAACAGGGCCTTCTCAGCAGTGGCCCTTCGCCTTTGGAACAACTGGCCAATGGAGCTCTGTTCGTCTCCCTCTCTGGGTGTTTTCAGGAATAAACTTAAAACCTGGCTATTTGGGCAGGCTTTCCCTCCTACCATATCTTAATTTCTTATACTTAACTGTAATAATTGTATTATATATGTTTATTTTAATGTGTTTTAACCTATGTATGCCGCCCCAAGTAGACATAGTCTAGAGGGGAGGGGTAAAAATCAGTCAATCAATCAATCAAACAAACAAATAAATAAATACTTTCGCCACCTTGGATCTATAATATATATTTTTGGTTTTGGTTTTATTGTTTTTAAATTTGTAAACCACCCAGAGTGGACCTTTGATCTAGATGGGTGGGACAGAAATCCAGTAAATAAATAAATAAATAAATATTGTCTTCTTTTTCAAGATATGATCCAGAGAAATTTGTTGTACCAAACGCAGAGGGACGTCCGGAGGCGCCCCAAATTTGTTTCTGCTGAAGATGTAAAGACAAAGAAAGGGTACAGTGTCCCTTTGTAATGTAACTAAGGAACCATGCCTACATTTTTCTTTTTTCTCTTCTTTCCTACCAATACTTCCTTTTCTGGCATGGCTTTTGAGGCTGAAGATAGTGGCTATCCTGTTGTTAATATTTTTCAGCTAGTCTGAGAGCCTTTAGTGACTGATGCAGAAAGGCTCTAAAAATTCTGAAAAAAAAATTATTATAAAACTACTCTACGTATAAAGTAGATCCACTTGCAGAAAATTCCCTTAACTTATCCAAACTCATAACTAATCACATATGTGTGGGGGACAGAAGAGGGGAGGGGAGCAGAGAGAGAGAGAGAATTTGTGAGCAAAGTGTTTCATAACTGTTATCTATTTTGTTCCTTCATGGTTTCTTTGGCCAATGCTTGCTATGGCGATCATCCTGCTTTGGCTCAGGTAGAAGATTATTGGCATGTACCAATGAGAGCTGTCGGGAGGCGGAGCCAGAGAAACTAGAAGGGAGGGGTGAGTCAGAGTCTAGTCAGTTCAGTCAGAGACAGAGAAGGGAGAAAGAGTTTTGGGGGTTTGAGGCAGAGAGAGTGCTTAAGGAGTGATTCGTCAGAGTGTGACCTGTATTAATTAAGATAGACAAGGTTAAAGTAAAATACTGAAGCTTGGTGTAACTTCAAGAAGGTGCTTTTAAGAACTAATCCTAAAACAACAGGTAATCAATAAACCTTTTTCTGTTTAAAAGCTCAGTACTGAATGGACCTCAGTCTTTCATAGGAAATATAGGTTGATAAAGAGATCAACTGGTGGCAGCATGTTAAAGGGCGTGTTGGGATACCTTCGTGAGCTCTGAGTTTTGTGAAACAAGCAGAGGCCATGGGGTAAATGTCACAATTGGTGTCCAACGGCAGGCTATGAAATAATCCAGTAAAACCAATGTTTAAAAGTAAATTTTCTGGAGTCACGGGTACTTTTTAGTCAGAGGTCTGTGGTAAAGAAGTGGGTGACCTGCTCGGGCTTTTGTGGAAAAGCTTAGTGGCGGGGCTTCTGAACCCAGATCTGGGGGAACTAAAGATAGAGAACTGACTCTAAAGGAAAATAATCTTTTTTGTTTACCTTAGGATTTAAGAGACCCTGTGGGCTAGCTTGAAATCCAAGGCTCTGAGAAATAAGGGAGCAGTGTTGGATAAGAGCGGAAGCCAGGGTCAGAGCAGATCTGAGGTGATAGGAAAATAAAAGCAGAGGCTTGGAAATAAAATTATTTTGGGTGACTGAGAGCAAGAATAGCTCAGACAAGAGAGACAGAGTAACTAGTGGTTGTGAGCTGGAGAGCAGAAGGGAGAACTGCTGAGTGAAGCGCAACATCATAGTTACAGTGGTGCCTCGACTTATGACCATAATCCATACTAGAAAATGAATGTAACTTGAAATGGTCATGAAGCACCATTTTCCATTGAAATGCATTGGAACACAATCCATTCTAGTAATAATAATAATAATAATAATAATAATAATAATAATAATAATAATAATAATAATAATAATAATAATAATAATAATAATAATAATAATAATAATAATAATAATAATAATAATAATAATAATAATAATAATAATAATAATAATAATAATAATAATAATAATAATAATAATAATAATAATAATAATAATAATAATAATAATAATAATAATAATAATAATAAAAAAGCACACAGCAAGCCTGGTCAGAAGGCGCTGGGTCTTTTTTTAAAAAACAAAACAAAAAATAAACAGCAAAGCAAGCTCTGTCACTGGGGCTTAAAAAAAACAAAAATGAGAAATAAATAAACAGCAAAGCATGCCCTGAAGGCACTGGGGCTGCAAAAAAAAATCACCAAAAAACAAAACAACACAGCACAGAAACATCCCCTCAGCCCAAAACCATGCTACAAAACCCACCCAGAACAGTTTTAAAAAAGCAGAAAACAGCACCTTACCTTACCAGGCAGCCTCCTCTGATTGCACACTCTCTAATTGCTGCGGTAAAAGAGCTCTGGGTTTTGTGAAACAAGCAGGGGCGACTGGGTAAATGCCACACCTGCATCCAGGAATAGTTTAACAATTGTCATGTTTTTTTCTTTTGCATGTAAACAGCCACACAGCTACTCCAGCTCCCGCTCCCGCTCCAGCTCCCACTCGAGCTCCCGCTCCAGCTCCCACTCGAGCTCCCGCTCCAGCTCCCACTCGAGCTCCCGCTCCAGCTCCCACTCGAGCTCCCGCTCCAGCTCCCACTCGAGCTCCCGCTCCAGCTCCCACTCGAGCTCCCGCTCCAGCTCCCACTCCAGCTCCCACTCCAGCTCCCACTCCAGCTGCAAATCTATTTGCAATACCAAGCTATCCTCAGACCTGGGATAAGTCATCACTACCTGAAATTGGGTACAGGGTAATGGATTTCCTGATCTTTGCAGTATAGGAGGAACTTTTTTAAAAACTAGCTATCATAGATGTCTGGCTCAAAGGGTTTTGAGGTCCATGTGTAGCAACAGGATTTCAGCCTTTTGATTTTGGCCCTGGGCATCAGAGTTCAAGTGTGGTGTAGATGGATGTAGATGGGTGTAGATGAGACTCACAGTTATGCAGTTATTGGGCAACTCACTCTCTGGAGCTTATGTTGTAAAGGCAAAATGGGCAGAGGTGGCCATATACCGTATTTTACCGTGTAAACTTTTTACTTAAATAATTAGACCAAAAATTAAGGGTTGTTTTATGCATGGCAGGCAGCTGCTTTCCCTGCCTTTTGCGAAGCCACAGAGTAAAGCAGCCATGAAAGGGCAGCACACTCACACCCCTTTGATCCTGAAGCAGCCATGAAAGGGCGTCAGGATGAAAGGGGCATGAGCGTGCTGCCCTTTCATGGCTGCATTACCCATTTCCTAAGCTCCACAGGGCTTAGCAAGCAGGGAACACAGCCAGGAAAGGGCGGGAGGATCAAAGCGGTGCGAGCATGCAAATTTTCTAATTTGGGGGTTAGAAAAGGGGGGGTCATCTTATACTTTGGGTCGTCTTGTAAACGGAAAAATACGGTAATATACTATGTCCTGAGCTTTCATGTTCAAGTGCATATTAGAAAAGGAGATTGCTTATGTCTTTATGTCAGCTCTGTGGAATGGTAAGGCTCCCCAGGCTAGTCTTCTGTAGTACAATGGTTGCAGGAGGTATATTTTAGAGCACACACAAAGTGGCGGAGGACTGGAAAGGGTTAAAAACAACGACTGTGCAGAAAATGAGAGAGGAGTGTGTGGCAGTACAGGGACTTCACGGTGTGTTACAGAATAGAAAACAGACTTCATATCCAGTGAGGCCAAGTGGCGCTGGTTGCGCTACTTGAATTGTTGTGTTTGCGGCCTGAGCCTGTGCGTGGTGAAGCGTGCACTCTTTGCCTCTGAGACCACATGTGGTGAAGATGCTTCTCTGGGGGGCCGGTAGCTACAGTGACTTCCGTTTTGCGAAATTTTTGAGAGAGAATTGCATAGATTAAGCCACTAGCATCATACATTGGTATAATGCTAGTGGCTTTATATCGATGTATGCCATAATTAGCAGCAGTTTGCCCACTTATCTTAAATTATGAATATCTCACCACCAGAGCAAGAGCTTAAACAGATCCTTAGAAATGGAAATTAGTTGTTCTGGTTGACATCCATTATGCTCAAATGGACCATTCTATTGAGTTAGGAGACAAGGAAGCATTGTGGCACTCCCTACTTTCGGGCCTTCAACAATTCCAGTTTTAAGACCTACCTTGCAGCTTGACATATGGAACCAACCTTTTGTTTCAACCTACAAGGATTTCTTCATTGATATTGTATGAAGATTTTGATGGATAAAGAGACAAACAAGAAATAACGAACTGCACCACATAACCTATCCAGTGCATGTTTATTTGGGTGTTCATAGGTTCTAGCATTAAATGGGAAAGTGGTATCTATGTAGTCTCAAGTCTTAACTTTATAAAATAAAGAGTCAGCAATGAAACAGGATGCACACAGTGTATAAAGTAAATAATCTGATGTTGGATGTTCATGGGTGAGGTTCACAGAAGTTGTGGCAGGGAAAAGGGAAGGAGGGAATTGGGATGAGTTAGAGCCAGTGCGGTGGAGTATTCAGGGTGTTGGACTGGGACTTGGGAGATCTGTGTTCTAGTCACTTCTTGAATCCTCAGGATTACTGGGTAAACCTGGGCCAGTCATGTTCTCTTATTTATTTATTCTTAGTCTTACCTCTCTCGTGAGGTTGTTAAAGGAAGAGAGCCATGCATGCCAGCTTCAGTTCATTGGAGGATAGGCAGAATATATCTCTAACTAACTAATGAAATAGGGCAATCTTGGAGCAGCATGAATATTACTCTCCAAGTGAAATAGGTAGCCTCTCCATTTCTGATGTAAAAATTATAAGCATGTTATAGCATTTCAAATTTGATAGCGATTAGTCAAGGTGGCTTTATATCACCTCCAGAATCAGAGGCAATATGCCTCTGAGTATCAGTTACTGGGGAGCTCAAGATGAGAATCATTTCTGGAAATCAGACCCTGTGGAGAATGGTTAAGAATGCAGAGAGAGTTTTGTCTAGAAAAGAGAAAGCTGAGAAGGTAATATGGTAGCCATCTTTAAATATTTTAAGGGCTTTCACAGGAAGGATGGAGCAAACTTGTCCTCTGTTGCTACAGACGGAAGACCCAAAGCAGTGAATTCAAATTAAAGAAATTAGATTTTGTCTGAATATATGGAAGAAATTTCCTGAAATTAATAGGTATTTGTTGATGAAGAGGCTACCTCAGAAGATGGTGGTGGACTCTCTTTCATTGGAGGTATCTGAACGGAGGTTGGATGGCCATTTGTAACAGATGACTTACCTGTGAATTTCCTGCTTTATCATAGCTTTAAATTTATAACGTACTGTATGGCTCTTTTTATATTCTAATACAACTTCTATTTTCATTTGTGTTTTCTATTTTATGAGATTGTAACCTGCCCAGAGTAGTGCTGCAGCACTAATGGGAGCGGAATATAAATTGAATGAATGAATGAATGAATAAATAAATAAATATAACTACTGGAAATAAGTTCACTAAAAATGCTAGGCTACATTTTCTCCAGAGTAAAGCAAATAGGTTTATCTAACTTCTTATGATTTTAGACTGTTGAACTCAACAAACTGTCTCCTGAATATACGAACATTGAATATCTCTTTCAAAAGACAATGAGCAATTACATCATCCTCAGAATAAGAAGAATCCAGAACCCATCCCTTTGGCAAGTTTACCAGTGGTTTGTATCAATTTTATCCCATTATCCTGGCTACCATTAAAGGGAGAGTTTGAAGGTCAAGCTAGGTGTTACACAAAAACATACAACCTTCCAGTCCCCTCTAGGTATTCACTTGACTGGCCGGGGTTCCCATACCAGTGTTGGAAAGTATGTGCAATGAATCTGATGCCTTTGGACCCAGAGATTTCATAGTGTCCTGGGAGCATTGCCAGTGTGTCTAGCATTGTTAAAGAGGTAGAGCTGGCCCCACACTTTCCTTGATGCATTAGGAGATGAATGCCTGAGTAGCACATCAGTAGTTTGGTGAGCTACTGAAAATCAGCCTTGGGAATGTCTGTGTGATCAGGAGTGAAAAAGCATTGGGGCAGGGCTGTTTCTTTTCCCTTCTGTTTTTCCTTTTCTCCCTGGAAGTTTTCTTATCCATGAAGCAAATCATGCAACTTCTCCCTGTTTCTCTTCCATCTGCTTTCCTAAATTGTAACAAAAATACATGTTAAAAGTCCCTGTCACAGTGAAGAGTGTAAAATTTTACAGTAAATGGGTAATAATTTATATTTTAGTTTACAGACTTGCATGCAGCCTTCTAGCTTGTTTGACTGGGAGGGGCCTTTCCAGGCTGGGAGTAACTGTCAGTCTGTCCAGCATTAAGCAATAGTTCTGTCTTGTGTTCTAAATTCTATGGAAGGGTTTGGCAGTTGACATCCTGAAAGTTAACAGGAAAATGAGAGACATTTGTTTCACACCAGGCAAAAAGAGCAGATGAAGAAGAAAAGAGGAGGGCGGAGTGCTGATGAGAAGCTCCTGTTCCATGGGACCACTTCTAACCTGGAAACCATCTGTAATGACAACTTTGACTGGAGAATCTGTGGGACCAATGGAACAGTCTTTGGAAAAGGTAGGGGTGATGGATGAGGCATCAGTAAAAACTCTGTTCAAGGTTGATTAACCTGACATTGAATTATTACTTCTAACTTCAGTGGGAATTTCCAGTTTTCCTTTTTTCTTAAGAAAATGCGGAATAAAAAACTTTTTGCTTAGCCTTTGTGTTTGGTTGAGTCTACCATTTTAGTGAGAGTCCCGTGTGCAGTTGCATAAGGAATTTCCTTTCAACCTTAAAATGTCACTTTAGTGCTTGGTTCCCCTCATGTTAAAGCACAGGGCACAACACTCTTGAAATGAGTAGCAACAGTATATTTCCATACTCAGTTCTTTAATGCCATTGAGTATGGGCATGTACGGCTACTATCCATTTCAATGGAGCTTATGCAGGGGAATGTCCAAGAGAAGTATGCCCTATAATTTCTGGGGTTTTTAATGTATGATGCCCTTAATGCCAGCTAGGCAATCACTGTAATTTTAGAAATCCAGTAAGTGAATTATATATTTTAAAATATTTCTGCATCCCACCTTATCAAACCCCATCAATTCAGAGTTAAAAACAAACATTGAACTATAAGGACATTCACTATATGGTCCACTGGACACAAATAGTATCTATGGTTTTTTTCTTCAACAGAAGGGAGAAAATTTCTGATCACTTCTTTGGGTTAATATTTGTGCCTTGTGTTTAGAGGTGGGCATGAAATAATTTGTACTCCTTCGTCATAATGTGTGCAGTAACACAGCTACCCCTCCCCTCCCATCCACTGGCTCACCCACTGACCTGCTGGTCCTTCCCTGTCACAAGATTTTCCGGTCTGAGCAGGAGCCTGGACTTCCCTTCTCTGCTTTCTCCAGCAGCTGGCCACTCAAAGGCGGCACTGTAGGAATCCCTGCCCTGCCTCCTCATCTGAGTGCCCAGCTGCTGGAGGAGGCAGAAAAGGGAAGCCTGGGCTCCTGATCAGACTGGAAGATTGCAGGACCAGGAGGGAAGTAGCAGGGCATACCAGCAGGCCAGCGGGTGAGCTGGCAGGGGGGAGGGAACGTGTGGCAGCTGTGCTGCCACACAGACAATTTATAATGAAGGGGCACAAAGTACCTTCTGCTCCTCTCTAATTGTGCATCAAAGACGGTGGCAATATTACATCACTGGTCTAAAACTGTGCCAGTTGGTCAGTTGGCAAAACTAGAGTCAGTTCCATGATTAACTAACTGTACTCGGCTGTTTGTGTCAGGCCTTCCCCAGGCTTGTTGGAGATAATGGGAGCTGGGGTCAAAACTCAGTTGGAGACTAACGTATTAGGACTAGTTTACCTGAACCGTAGTATTTTCATTTTTGCTCCTCTCTTTTTCCTAGGAAGCTATTTTGCCAGAGACGCACAGTATTCCCACAACTACTGCCAGCGTGATGCAAAAGAGAAGATTATGTTTGTGGCTCGAGTCCTGGTTGGGGATTTCACTGTAGGGCGAGCAACCTATACTCGTCCCCCACCAAAATCATATGACAGGCTCAGTTGTTACGATAGCTGTGTGGATAATATAGCAGACCCATCCATCTTTGTCATCTTTGAGAAGCATCAGATATATCCTGCATATATGATCCATTATAGCGAAAAAGAAAACAAATGTCTTTTATCATAGTCATCCAAGAAAAATGAATCTAATTCCTGTCATTTTATACAGGTTATGTCATATGCTAAAAGTTTTTCTCTTCTGTAATAGATTTAAAGGAAACAACATATATCTTCAAAATAGGAAGAAGTAAAATTATTGCCGAGGAAGATAGGGAATATATTTTGATGGGTTGTTTAAATCAGCAGTGTTAAGTTGTGGTAGAAGGAAGAAACTGATAGCTGAATAATCCATTATCATAGACAAAGCTGTGAGAATTCCAGCATTGTTATAATTAATCGATCTTGCTGATTTCATTTGTTAAAGAGCAAGTAAGAGTCCTTTGAATGTTTTAATCCATTGCAATTTTTATGGATGGATAGTTCATACATCAAATGAAGTAGGACAAACCACTATGTGTATATTCTGTCCTACATGATGGATATTAGCCTTCGTTGTGCTAGGGGACAACTGAACATTGTATCGGATAAAGTTCCTGTTCTCGTTCCTGTTCTCCTTGGTACAGTTCAAGTTTTTATCGGTATAAGACTTGGCTGGTTGTGATTATCTGTTCTGCTGGCCTAGCATACGGTATGAAAATTAGTCCATGGCTTTGGATCCATGGAAGGACGTATCTACATCTTCTGCTTCATCTGAAAAATAATCAGTTTCTCTGGTAATTAATATAGTTAGATATAGAGGATGTTTTATGTTAATTATCAGAGCCAAAGCCTTTTCTGAAACAACTTCATTAAGTGATGTTGATCGAACACAAGAAAACTAGTAATGCACCGACCTGCATATCTATCTGTGTGCCTCTTTCTACTTGGGCACCAGGTTGATTGTCTTCACCTTTGGTTGCTGCACTTATTCTTGGGGAAATACTTATCATAACTAACTGCACATGGATAAAGTATTTGTAAAGATGCACATCACATAGATCTGGCATCTGAAATTGTGATCCAAGAATTCTTTAAAAAATTGTTTTCTATTAAGGAAGAAATCCTGCCAATGCAAATAAGGCAGTATCGCAGTGACTGTGCAAACTTTGCCATTCACTGAGTAGTGCTCGGGACAGAAGACTCACCCTCCATATCTGTATCTTTGTTGCACATTAGTAATGCTTGTACAAGCAGTGTGATCCTGTTATTCCACTGGTAAAACTTCTGCTGAGAAGCCCAGTAGCATACTGACTTAAATAATTCAAACCTTACCTTTATTTGATAGAAAATTATTTAATTGGCACTCATAGTTTTACCTTTATCTTAGCTGGCATTCTCTTTTTAGCTTTCCCTATATAGAAAAGGAAATACAAGTTGGGCGGGGTGCTGAAATTTTGGGGGGAATTAAAAATAAGTAAAAATATTTGTGTGACGTAATTTTAAAAAAGCTTATCTTCGGGTCTTACGCATGATAATTTCTATTCTATCCATTCACTTTTTAATAGTAATCAATAGCCTTAAGCTTTAGCTTTGCCAAATTAAGGGGGTGTGTTCCACATAATAAAATATGATGCTGAAAGGAGCATTCTGTTTACTGAGACTCTTGGCTTTCTTTTTCTTAAGTAACCAGTTGCCAGTTCCAATAGCCAAGGATTCAGGACCATTACTTCTGTATTTTATCTTTTGTACATTTGCTAGGCAGTGTCAGCAAAGGATTGTTTTGCATGAATCCAACCACCTTCCACTCTGCATTCCCTCACAGCCCTCTCCCTGGGGCCCATCCTGCTCAGCCAATGCAAGAAACAGGGTTGGCAAGTCCCATCTCCACGGCAAGGCATCTCTACCTCAAAAGCAAGGCAGTGATGCCACGCAGTAGGAGCAGGCTATGATTGAGACCAGTTTCTGCCACTGGAGACTCTGCCCAAACTGCCTCGCAGGATGTCCACACTCCAGCTTGAGATATACCCTTCTCAACAGGAAAGGTGTTCCCTTCCAAATGTCTTTCTTAAATTGTCAGAATTAAACAAAGTGAATATATCATGTACTTATAGAATGTATTTTTAGACACAGATACATGAATGTATTCAGACTGCAGTTCTACATGCAGCCTTACTGAAAATGGGGGCTTCCAATTAAAATATGTGCAGGGCCAGACATACAGAGCTGTATTCAGGACTAAAGTTTGGTTAAGTCCTAGTTGCTCCTGCATCATTTTAGCCTTTTCACTGCTGACTAGGTCAGCCATTTGTAGTCTTATCAAATGAGACTTACATGTTGACCCTCAGTAGCTCAGGAACTCAACTGGTTCAGCAGTCCACACTTCACAAATAAGGTGAGAGGCCGTTAGCAGCTAATTGGTAAAAAATGACAAGCTTGGAAGACATATTCATCTTTGCTGAATATAACTGCCTATGGATGAGAGCTGCTACTACAAAATACACAGATGGTCAGTTTTGTTTTGATATGCAAGGAAATGTTCTATTACACAAAAGTTCTTCCATGTTATGAGTGATTGATAAAGTAATGGGATCTCCCCCAACCCTAGCTTAATTAGTAACTGAAATAAAAGGGAGGCATATGGTCAACAGAAAATATAAAAGAGCAGGTGATACCATTGCAGGCCAGAAAAAATCATACAACATGCAGGTTGTCATGGCTCAAGACCACTCGTCATGGTGATGAAGTGGTCTTGATCCATGAAAGCTCACATATTGTATCATATATTTTAGTGGTTGTCACACACACACCCCAGCTCCCCTGTTCTTCCACACAACCCAGGTTCACTTTTGGGCATGGCATTTATTTCTCAACCCTTTTCCGCTGCCACCAGAGGAGATATTCCTCTATTAAACATGAGTCTTCAATCAGTGTTATTCAATAAAACAATGTTTATTTAAGTGTTTATTAGTAAATTAAGTAAAGTGAATCATGGATGGTCTTATTTTATTCATTCAAGAAATTTTGCTTTGGTAACATTCATATTTGCTTAGGTAGAATAATTTAAATCAAGGTATTTATTCATTTCTTTTCACTTCTAATTCTTTCCAATCATAACCATAAACCATACGATATCTGTACTTTCTTTGTCTTATTCTCTATCTCTCCATTACTCTTGTCTAACACAAGGCTGGCCCTAACTGCCTAAACTGCTTCTCTCTAACTGAAGTCCTTAACTCATCCCCAACTGATACCTAACTGACTGCTCTTTAACTGTCATCCATTCTCTTATATATCCTTAGTCCCACCTCTTCTGTTCACCCATTGGTTGATATATCAGGTTTCTATTGTGATGGACAGGAGTGGTTACTGACCTGCTGTCTGTCACATACCTCCCCCCTTGGAAAAGTTTGTATCATGGGGGTAAACTCTACAGTGATTTACCCTCATGTACAATGTATGAGAG